CAAGGCCAGGCTGGATGTGGCTTTGAGCAACCTGGTCTAGTGGAAGGTGTCCCTGCCCATGGCAGGGGGGTTGGAACTAGATAATCTTTAAGATCCCTTACAACCCAAACCATTCTGTGATTGGTTCTAAAGGATTCATCAGCAGACTGTTGAGCGAGGGATACCAATGAACAAGAAAGCCAGGCATATAAATCAATTACTGGTAAAACCTTTGTTTCAGCCATGAGGAATTTTGTACCTGTTGGACAAAAACATTGTGGCATAGTACTGGAGAATACTTCTTGTGTCTGACCACCTATAAGCCCGCACTTGGAAACTGAATGCACCAAGATGACCCCTGATTTCTGCATTGTTCAGTCTGAAGATCAAACTTAGTTGTGCAGAGCTCACTGCAAGGTCTAGCACAGAGTTTGCTGCAAGACTGATTTTTAGAGGTGCTAAGCAATTGCAGAATGCTTCTGCAGAAACATTCTTCAGTCCCTTCTGAGTGTAACTTAGCCAAACTTAAAAGTGTGGATAAACTAGGCCAAAACTTTTCTTAAGTATAACCTGTCACAAAGAGATGGAGAGAAGTTGTTTCTTGGGATTGGGGAATTCAAGACAAATGTCAAGACACCTGTAAAACTGAGGAGTTCCTTTCCAAGTGCTGAAAATTTTTTTCCGCCTGACAGTTGAGACCTAACTTGATACCAGACCAGATCTGGTCTGTTCTCCACAGAGTAATAGAGGGATATGACAGTTTTTCATATGACTGCCATCTCTAGTTATTTATTTATATGTAATATTTTAAACACAGGCAGCATTCACATATATACACAGGAAGACTGCCAGTTCATCTGACACTTACTTAGGGATCTGTTCCCATGTTTAAGGTACCTAAGATTTTAAGAAATGTTGCTCTGCCTCACAAATCAATCAAGAGTCACACTTTCCTCCCTTTCTCTTCTCGAAGAAGAAAGGTTTCAAATTATTCCCTTTTGGTTATTTCCACTGTGGCTAAAAACACTTTGTAAACAGTACATTGAGAGCCTTTGAACACTGACAAACAGTGTCCACACACAAATAACGTGGAAATAGAAATTATTCAAGAATTAACTCTTCTCATTCCAACCACCATCACAAGTAATTTAACCCATGTGTTTATCCAGTCACATCTACTCAGTGTTGCCATCAATTTTTTTCACATCTGGTTTCAACTTTGCTAGCAGAATAGAAACACCTTTGCTTTTTACAGTAATTTTCTTCCATGCTGTAGTGGGTAAGATCTAATAAAGTTAGGAATCACAGCACATGATGTTGCCAAAACAAGCTACTGTCTTCCTTTCATTTTTCATGATTAAACATTAGAAGACAGAAAGGCAGTCTCACCACAGTATCCTGTATTGACATTCAGAAGACTTATCTGAGTCACAGCCAGCTGAAGACAGCCTTGCAATGCAGAAGCAAGATACCTGCACTTTTGGAGAGAGAGAAATTATGGAATAGCTCCAGCCCAACTGGGTTGATGGTTTTTGTTCTTTGATTAAGGAATTATTTAATATCTAACAGTTTCAACTTTAAAAAGCCAGATGGATCCAGAGCATGTAAATATCAGGTATGAACGAGAAAAAAACCCAAACATGTAGTTCTTCCCTTCATCCATTCCAATTCTGTAGTACCAATAACTCAAAGTTATATCTAGACTGCAAAACTGAGTTTTATACAAAGCTAGAAATTAGGTCAAGGTCAAACCAAGCACCTATAACGTTGACACAAGACTAACCAAACGAAATGGTTTCAAGATCCCCTTATGCTATTACGCTAAAATCAAAGCCTTTAAAATACATAAAAGGTTAGGTCCATCTGCCTCAAGCCTTTGCATCTTCTTCCATTTTTAACAGGGTGAAATCAATTTAACAAATGTTGGACTGGTACTGTAGGAACGGGAAACATGAACTCCTAGGGATCTGGAGTCACCTTTTCAGTAATTTTGAACAGGCAGGGTATATTACATGGGGAAGTCATGTCTACAACTTGTTAGCCATAAGATGTTTTGCCCTGTCTTTTATTAGGTCTCATTAACCATCTGCAGGTGGGCACTTTTAAGGTCACCAGCCAGTTGGCAAGTCACAAAATAAAAGTTCCAAATGGGGAGGGGGGGGGGGGGGGAGAAAAAAAAAAGTAACAATTTTTCAGATATCTCTAACAGGAAGGTCAGGGAGCCATAGTGCATTTCCAAAAGGAGACAGGTAAATGTGTTGTGCAGTGCAGTGGAAAATGACTGAAAAACCCCACAAAAATCTTACAAGGAGAAA